TATATATATATACACTGGAGCAAACTTTATACACTGCTGTATCCACTCTTCCCTCTTAGCAGTGAATCCCGGAGGAGATGATCCATATCAGCTTTTTAATCATGTTTTATTGTGTGGATGGATTGTAATTCATCTAACCAGTCCCTCGAAGATGAGTATTTAGTCTGTTTTCTTTTGCAATTTTGAACAAAATAGCGTTGAACATCCTGAACACAAATCTTGACACACACACGTGGATATATTGGTAGATAAATTCTCATAATAGAACTGTGGGGTCAAATTTTCCATTTTGATACTCTCCAAAGAAGTCGTACCAGTTCATGCTCTCACTAGTGGTACAGCAGCTAGAACTCGTTTTTTCTGGAAATTTTTATGACGTATAACATACATATAGAGAAGTGCCAAAATTACAACTATATAGCTTGAACAATTTTCACGAACTGAAGATACCCATGTACCCAGCACCCAGATCAGAAAACAGGATGTCCCTGGCACCCCTCTTGCCACCCTTGCAGACGGTCTGCCTCAGGCCTTGAAAGTGTCTCAAATGAATGTTCCAAGCCTCTGCTCTTTCCCAGACACTGTCCCGGACTCAGTAAGGGATCCAAGGATGAAAAAGAGGCAGATCGTTTGCAGGAAACTTGCAAATAGTAGAAAGACACAGCCAAAAAGAAATCTTTTACAGGGTGGAATCGCCGTAAAAAGAGCAATTAGAGAACCATAAACACAGTGTTAAGGGACAGCGAAGAAAAGGGTTGCTGGCCGGCTGGAAGGAGCTAGAAAGGCTTTGGTGAGAGACTGTGGTATTTGGGAAGAGCCTTGAAAGAGGGATGAAATATAGGGAGGAGAAATGGGGTAGGCAAGGGTACCGAAATGGGAAAGCGGTAGTCCAGGGGATCATAAAAAGTAAATCGTGGGAGAAGCCGGGGAGCTAGATTGGGGCCCTCTTTAGAAGACCCTTTGTTCTGGGATGAAAGTAAAAAAAAATCTAATTTCATCACTCCTCTGGTTCCATCTCCATCGGTGGGCAGATGGAGCGCTTTGTGGTGGTGCCCATCTCCCACCCCTCCTCTCCACATGGCAGACTCCTGATACCCTCACTGGGCACTGCCCAACCTGCTGCCATGCCTCCCGCCGGCAAACCTTCTCCTGGCACTGTCTGGGATCCCAGCAAAAGCAGCATCTCTTCTAGCCTCTGTTCACTCCCTGGCTATAGTGTTTACCCTATTCAACAGTGATGATCTGTGAACACATCTATTTCCTGAACAAGACTTTCAGTTGCTCAGAGCCAGGGACGATGTCTTGTTTTCAGCATTTCCAGCCCCTCACAAAGGGCCCAGGAGTTTCCTAAATGAAAAAGCAAGTGGGAGTTTGTGTTTGATTCAACTGAGCATGAAGAACGGTTAAAAATTTGAAGGATGAGGGATGATTTTCCTGGATTTGTATTCTTTGGTATTGTCCACCTGCCAGTGGCAAATGTGGAGGAACTGAAGTGGAGGGATGGGGGCTCGTGGTGGCACTGGGACGTGGGACCTGAGTTGTGCCCATGGCCTCTGTGGCTGCTGGAGGATTGGTTGTCAACACAGTAGTGCCCTTCTGTTCTCGTACGACCCAAAGCTCCTAATCTGAGATTTCTCATTAATAGCCCATGAACCCAATTCCAGCACCGTTGCCTCCTGACATACCAAGCTTCAACCTCATTGCTGACAGCCTGTCTTTCGACTTCAAGGATACTGACATGAAGCGGCTTTCCATGGAGATAGAGAAAGAAAAGTATGTATCCTCCTGTGCCCTGCTGTGGGCAGCCGTGAACTAGAGTGAGTGATGGGGGCCCTGGAAGGCCGGGGCAGAGGTGAGGGGTCATTGCAGCAGCCTGCCATTAGCTCCTGCAAAGGTTTCCTCTGTTCTTACTCCCTGGAGGAAGAATTTCCTTAATCAGAAATTAAGGGACAACAGATCAGCATTCATTCTTCCAAGATAAAAATAACACTTGACTGGTGACCTGGCATTTATGGTGGCTCCAAACCTCATCTAAAATGTAGGACTGGGTTGTTAGCATCTCCGGTTCGGTTCAGCTGCTGTTGTACTAGACTGTGGTCATCTCCTAGTTGCATTCTCCAGCGACTGAGATCTGTGGTGGTTCCCACGTCTAGAACAAACAAAGGTGAGAACAGACTCAGGCTCTAGGCTGAAGAAGGCCGACAGCCAGGTGGGGCCCACTTTGCTGCAGTGGGTGGCGCTGGCCAGGGCCCCAGCACAGCCTGATCGTGGCAGCTTTTGCTGAGCTGCCCTCTATGCAGCCTCTGTCTTCCCTTGATGGGGAGTAGAAGCGGGTCAGAGATGGAAAGGATCCCCACCGCAGAGGCAGTCTAAGCAAGGGCCCCTAGTCCCCAGAACTGGTGGTTAACTGCTGCCGCCTGCCGGAGGACATCCACAGTAGCCAGCATGCATCGAGTGCCTCTGTGTCAGGGGTTTTGGCTTTTGTCCATTTAATTCCTACTAGTTAACAAACATCAAACTGACATCAAAGGTAGGTTTTCATGTCCCCATTTTCTAAGTGAGAACTCAGATTTAGAGAGTTTAATGAACTCCCCCAGCATCACACAGCTGATGCAGAGGAGCCCTGGGGTTAAAACCCCTCACCCACCTGACTCTGCAGCCCATGTGCTTTCCCCATGGGTAGCACCCTCAGGAAAACCCTGTGGGGAAAGTGTCTCCATGGAGTCCAGCACGAGCAACCACAACCCAGGCTGTGTTTCTCTTTGGGCTCTCACACTTAGGGTATAGCTAAGCAGCCAGTGAACCAGAGCCTCTAGCTATCATATCTGCTGTCCATGTTCCTTTCACCATTATCCAGACATATATATTTATGGGGTTGGGACTGGGGATAGGGGTGAAGCTATTCTGTGTCTGCTATTTTATAGTTTGTATTTTGTTACTATCTTAGTTTGTTTTGGCTACTGTAACAAAATACCAGAGGCTGGGTAGCTTACAGACAACAGAAATTTCTTTCTTAGCCAAGCACGGTGGCTCACGCCTGTAATTCCAGCACTTTGGGAGGCCAAGGCGGGCAGATATCTTGAGCCAGGAGTTCAAGACCAGGCTGGGCAACATGACAAAACCCCATTTCTACTAAAAATACACAAATTAGGTGGGTGCGGTGTCACATACCTGTGGTCCCAGCTACTCACAAGGGTGGGAGGATTGCTTGAGCCTGGGAGGCAGAGGTTGCAGTGAGCTCATATCTCCATACTGCACTCCAGCTGGGGCAACAGAGAGACACCCTGTCTCAAAAGAAAAAAAAAAGAAAGAAATTGATTTCTTACAGTTCAGGAGGCTGGGAAGGCCAAGATCAAGGCATGGACAGAGGTAGAGTCTGCCTGGTTCATAGTCGGCACCTTGTCAGTATGTGCTCACGCAGTGGAAGGGATGAGGGGTCTCTCTGGAGCCTCTTTTATAAGCGCAGTAATTCCATTTGTGAGGCTCTACCCTCACAACCTCTCAGAGGTCCCACCTCCTAACACCTTCACATAGGCGATTAGGTTTCAACATAGGAGTTTTGAAGAGACACACACATTCAGCCCATAGCACTTCTTAACCTTGCACATGTTGACAGTCTCTCTACTAACCATGGCAATCCCTACAGAGTGTTTCTTGATATTTGTGTTGCATGGTTTTTCTGGCCATGCCCTTGTAGTTGGACACTTTGTGGGTGGTTTCTAGATTTTCACCATCATAGATGCTGTCACTCAGTGTATCTGTTCTCAGGTGAGGGTGGGGATCTTTTTTTTCTTGCATTCCGTGAGCTTCTGAGTGAGTTTCTGTCATCTTCAGATGAAGTCTCAGAACATGTGGGAGTATGGATGTGGCCTATCAAAAGAAATCATGTGAAGCTGGGCACTGTGGCTTGTGCCTATAATCTCAGTACTTTCAGGCCAGGAGTTCAAGACCAGCCTTGGCAGCATAGCAAGATCCTATCCAAAAAAAAAAAAGAGGTTATTGAATTAGTGCTTCAAGAAGGGAGATTGTTCTGGGTTGCCAGGAAGTTTGTTTCATGTTTTCATTTTTGTTTTTGGTACAGAATGAAAAGCTACCTGTGACAGCTTGTATTTGTAGAGCGCCCTATGAGAATTTACTGAGGGCTTTCCTACTCTTTTTCTTTTCTTTTTTCTCTTCTCTTTTTTTTTTTTCTTTTTTTTTTATAGACACAGGATCTCATTATGTTTCCCAGGCTGGTCTCCAACTCCTGGGCTCAAGCAGTCCTCCTGCCTCAGCCACCCAAAGTGCTGGGGTTACAGGGGAGCCACTGTGCCGGGCCTCCTACACTTTTTTAAACTTAATCCTGACCACGGCCCTGCGATCATTATCCCAATTTTAATGATGAGGAAACATTCATAACAGTGACCAGCCCAAGCTCCCATGGCCTGTGAGTAGCCAAGTAGAGATGTGAACCCCAGGCCTCAGACCCTAGGTCCTGTGCCAAGCAGCTTGTGGGCCACAGAGCATCTGAGCCGTGTCTCGCCGTCTGCCCAAACCCTGATGCACAATATCCTCTTGCTGGCAGAGTGGAATACATGGAAAAGAGCAAGCATCTACAGGAGCAGCTCAATGAACTCAAGACAGAAATCGAGGCTTTGAAACTGAAAGAGAGGGAGACGGCCCTGGATATTCTGCACAACGAGAACTCCGACAGGGGCGGCAGCAGCAAGCACAATACGATTAAAAAGGTACCCAGGGTCTCTTTCTTGTCTTTTGCTGATCAGGACAGTCATCAATGAAATGTGTGTTGGCATCTGGTTTCCTCAGTAGCCAAGTCACTAGACTGTTGGCATCTTTTGTACATACTTAGTTGAGGAAACTTTTTGACTCATGCCAGAAAGGGAATTTTAATCTGCCAATGACTATGAACCCATTGGCTTGATGGAAGTTGAGCTTGTGTTAAAAGCTCTGATGTAATGAACCCCTGTTACAGGGTGGGTTTTGAGCCATCATTTAGCAGTAAAGCATAATGCCCTTTTAAGCCAAGGGGTGTTATGCCCAGGGAGCTGCTTTACTTAATGAGAAAGCAGAATGAAATGGAGGGTATTGAGAATGGACTTTCCCTCTAGACTTGCTGTGTCTTTAAGTGGCAAGGACTATAAAACCAAACTGAATTTTTTTTTTTTTTTTTTTTTGAGACGGGGTTTCACTCTTTTTTTCC